AGCCAAGCTATGAGCCAAAATTTTGGATCAAATTTTTTCTGAGCCGATTTTAAGAGCCGGCCCAGCTCGGCTCGAAATCCGATCGTAAACAACTGTTGAGAAATTAGGAAAAATCAACGCACAAATCAACAAACACAAGAAAGAACACGCGGAGCGGTTGATTTCTGATTTCACGAAAAAACAGTATACCTCTTTAGGGTTACAAATACAACACATATATAACCCTAACGTATAATATGTTGTTACAAAATTACCTATGCACTAGACCGCTGGGGCGTTGCCTCCGCACTCCCAACCCACTTAACAAAACTCAGTCGATTGGATAGATGCTGGAGCGGAACGGAGCGAGTCAGATTTGCTCCGCTCGCTCGCTACGTTCCCCTCCAACATCTGTCCCTTATCTGGTATATGAGCCATCGGATCGTAAACAGCCCTACATATAACTTGTACTGAATGCCGTTTTTATTCAAATATGCAGTTAACAAGCAGTTGAATGACAAAGAGAGGGTTGCTGCTGCCCTGGAGAATCCCAATCTGCGTCAGCTCGTTGACGAATGCTTATACTCCAGTGAACTGTAGATCCATTAGCAATATGATAGATGTAATATCAGTCAGTCAATAAGGTAATGCGGTCTTATTCTATACTAGTACTGTTGTTTGGATATTGAGATTTACTTGTTAGAGAGATTATTTCCGGTGATTTGCGTAGAATCACACAGTTTTTATATATTTATAGGTTTTATTTCCTTAAATCACATAAAAATATAAGACTAATATTAATTTGTTAGCATGAAATGTTGCTTTTCATGTGTGTTCTGATGTGACCGGGACTCTAAAATGTTATATATGTAAATATTAAAAGTTTACATATTAGCACATGTAAATATATAAGATTTATGGGATATGCATGTAAATTTTCCTTTTTTTTTTTTTTATTTTGTTGACTATACTTCTCCTTTTGTTGAGAGAAGTTGAATGTAAAGGGCCTACTTTCTGATTGATTGCACTGAATACAAAAGCACTTGGATCAATTATCATAGAATATCATAGAGTAGCACGTGCTTTCGATTTTTTGAATGCCGTGGGGGAGGAGAAATTATTGTGTACGGAGTTCGAACACAAGCTACGTCCTGACAACAAAGACAATGCATTGGAAGGTCTCAATGCATTGGAAGTTTTTTTTTTTTTTGTTTTCCGCTTCCTCCGTGCATTACATCCGTTGTTCAGACGTAGATGTAGCTTGTGTTCGGACTCCGAACGCAATATTTTTTTCGTGGGGAAGATCTACCTGAGGAGAGCTATGACCCACTACAATTGAGAGGGCTTAACCTTTGGTATGCAACTTTGATTTACAATTGGGCTATATATATATATATATATATATATATATCGACAGCGGCAGCGGCCGGCGCACAGGCTG